AGCCCCTTCCTTCCCTGGCCACAGTGTCCCCACCTCTGCTTCCGAGTAGCTGACGGGGACAATGGGCAAGCTGGCTTGGGGCTGTCCTCAGCCCCCCAAGTGCCCGAGCGAAAGCCGCTGTGGGCAGATTGACCCCAGCCTCCGGCCGGCAGCTGCTCACCTTGCTGCCTAAGGAGATGTGCCGCCCCCCAGCCCTGAGGCGTGGGAGATGCAGCTCCCCTCCATACCCCGCCCCGGGAGTTCGAGGCTCTTCAAGGGCAGGTGTCCAGCTCCCGCGTCAGCGTGGGCAGTGGGTCAGGGCCCATGCACCGGGCGACCAGAGCCCCTGACTTCCGGGACCGGGCGCCCGCAGCTGCTTGGGATGGAGCAGCTTTCTCCCAAAGGAAGAAGGGGCCCTACCCTGTGCGTCCCCTGCCGCAGCACAAGCACACACACGCTCATGTGTATGCGCACAAAGGCATGCAAAGCACATGTACAAATGTGCACGATACACGTGCACACACGCATGTGCAAGCATGCGCACACACATGCACAGACATGTATGCCCCAAAGCCTGCCGAAGGCTTGCTTCGCTCAGGACCCGCTCCTTTCTCAGGGGGTGAGGTGAGTAGGCACTGTGACCAGCCAGCTGTGGCGGGGTCTCCCTGGGAACGTGCGCAGGGTCCCCGGAAGCTGCTCAGAAGTGGGTGAAAAGTGAAGAGGGGCAGAGCAGAGTCCCGGGACTGCAGCTGGGTTTTCCTAGGTGACCAGGGGAGTGTGGGAGACCCCTCCGAGGGCCCCATGGTTGGGCAGGGCACTGTCGGGCAGGGCTCAGGGGTTATGCGGCTGTCTGTGAGGAAGAGCCCAGATGTCTGCTCCTCAGACTGTAAAGGGAAGAAGAGGCTGTAAACAGCGCTGATGGGGCCTCAGGAGGCCTCCCCACACCACCCCTTACCCAGGGAGAGGGGCCAGAGGCTGGCCGTGGTCCTGAACCCCACCACCGAGGGCCACTGGGTCGCTGTTTGTACCATCTGTACCATTCGGTGGTTGGGTGATCAGGTTGGACCTTCGTCCTGGTTGAGAGCAGGTCTTTGGGGTTCCTGAGTGTGCTGGAGTTTGCCCGCAACCCTGCACACCCACACAGGGCTTCGTCGCTAGGACCGTGTGTGTCAGCTGCCCGTGACACTCCATCGGCTGCCATTCCTTTCTGAAAGCCCCAGGCGCTGCACACATCTGAAGTTCCCAGCATGCACTTGTCTGTGTCCCTTGAGCGTCCCATCTCTCCGTCAGAGTCAGGGACAAGCCACGTTGCTTCCCAGCAGAGGGCACGGGCCTGGGAGGAGGGGACAAGGGCGTATGCTGCATTCTGTCACCTTGGCCACCATCCCTGGTGCCGGGCCAGCCCACGACCCTGCATTATCTCTGCTCTCTGCCCCTCTGGGTGCCAACTCCTGACCACTTCAGCGCCCCAGACAGCACAGCGATGGGGGAGGGAGTGACGGCCAAAGCCCTGGCTTCTGTGGTGCCCTTGTGCACAGGCTGTGGTGTCGCCTGTGCATGTGACTGTGATGGCATTCCAGGCGCCGTGAGGGACAGCGCAGCGGTGTGTGCCTGCTCCGTGGGAGCAAAATTCAGATGCATGAAGGTGTCCTGTCGCCTGCTAGGCTCACTCAGAGGAGATGTGCGGCAGCTGGGGGGTGGTTGCCTTGTCCTGGGCCACGTGGAAGTCGGTTCTGAGTGCCTCTGTCGCCTGCGTGCCTCTGTTTCCCTGGCTGTGAAGCCACTGTCATGTGCCGTGCACCTCGCCAAGCTTCTAGAAGTGCAGCCCTGTGTGACTGAAGGCTGGGCCACGCCACCTTGAGACAGGTCTGTGTGGCCTGAGCGGGCACTGGGCCTGGGTCCCCAGGAGAGCACCCAGAGAAGTACGCAGCAGTGCTTCTGGCCCAGGGGCCACCCCTGTGTGGAGTCTGCGGGGCCAGGAGCTACCAGGGTGGCCTCAAGGTCCGGCTGCACCTCCACACTCCTGACTTGGGGTACACAGTGGAGACCACGACAGCCCCCTGGTGGGCCACTGGCAGAGGCGGGGCAGGAGCTGGGAAAGCGGCCCTGAAAGAGCGAACAGCCTTCATTTGTGTCCGGAGCTGTGCTCATCTGCCTCCCTTCTGTCACTCATTGTCCCCACACCCCGCCAGTCCGGCCAGCATGGGTCCCCTCCGGCTGCTGCACTCCGTGTGTCCGCCAGCACTCTGAGCTGCCGTGGCTCTGTCTGAGCCTGACTGCAGCTGGAGACAGGTATGAACGTGTCAACAGCTTCTTGAGTATTGCTGCAGGATTTTGGCTGTAAAGCAGGGAGCAAACAGGAAAAGCCACAGGGCAGAGCACCGGCAAGTGGGTCAGGTGTCCCCAGGTGCTCGCCTCGTGGTGCCCTTGACCTGCGGGAGCCCTGTGCACCTCAGGTTTCCCACCCAGCCTGGCCCTGTTGGGCTGGGCCCCAAGGTTGACTTCCATGTCCCTGCCCGCTTCGCCCTCCTGTGGGGCAGGCCCCTGTGCCTGGTCCCTGGCCTCTGTGTACCCTGCTCCGCTGGCCTCTTCCGGCCTCAGGGAACCTGGCTGCCGGCTGCCTGTTTCCATGTGTCCCCGGCAGGCTCGATCTGTCACCGGGTCTCATCTCCATGTGATGAGTGTGTCTGGCCCAGCCTCATGTGTGTGGCTGCATGGTCTAGCATGGGATGACCCTTGCTGGTGGTCGCAGCCTTCCCTTCTCTGAGCCACTCCTGGCGGAATCTCATTGTGCTCTGGAACCCATGCACCGGACTCACCCTACCCACGGGCTACGTAGCTCTCGCTCCCCTGTGCTGAAATGCGTCCCCAGCTGGGGTGCCGCTGCCCCAGCCCTCACCACGCTCAGTGGACAGTGGCTCCCCTACACAGTCCATCTTGTGACTCATTTATTAGGATCTTTAAGCAGACATGGGCATGGCAGGCTGGGCTCCTGAGGTAGGGAGCCAGAGAGAAAAGCTGTGTTGGGTGACCTCGCCCTCACCCCTTGATTTCCAGAAAGGACCCGAGAGATGTGCTGTTATGGCTGAGACCTAAAGTGTTTCCCAAAAGTCTTCTGTGCAGAGGTGGTGCTTTTGGAAGGTGCTGGGGTCACAGGGGCTGATCCTCTAGTGATTCAGGAGCTGAATTGCTGTCGGGAGGTGGGGCGGATAGGAGAGGTCACTACGGCATGACCTGGCAGGGTGTGTGCTCGTCCCCAGCCCCTCCTGTCCTTCTCTGCTCTGCAGTTTTCCTGGCCACACCCTTCCACCCTGCCATTTCTTCCTGGAGCAGCCTGCCATGGATGAATCCCACTGAAACCGTGAGCCCAAACCTCTCCTCCTTTAAGTTTCAGGCGTCTGGTATTTTGTCCCACCGTGGGACAGTGACTAAGATGTGTGGTCTCCAAGTTCTAGCCCAGGGAAAGGGAGCAGTGGCTGACTTCTCCTCCTTCCCGTGGATGTGGCCTGAGGACCCCTTCGAACACACATTCCCAACATGCGGGGGCTGGGAGGGGGCTGGGGACCTCTCAGAGCAACCCTGTCCCTGGCACACTTGGGGTCACTGCAGAGGAGGGCCCGGCTCCGGGACAGCCTGCCTGGTGGCATCCACCTCCTTCCCTTGCAGGCCAGGAGGCGGGAAGCCACTTTCTCCTCTGGGAAGTGGGCGGGTGGTAGCCTCCCCAGAGGCCAACCGTGCAGATGACAGTGAGTCATGTGGGCCAAGTGTCTGGGCGGCTCAGTGCTGAGATGCTCTCCGGGCCTCAGACCTGGCCACATGGCACCTGGGCACTGCCCACAGCCTGGACCTGCAGGCTCCGGCCATCAGAGCATGTGACAGGGGTAGGGGAAGGGCACAGCGCTGCCGTGGGGATGCAGGTGCGAGCTGGAACAGGGACACAGGGGACTCGGTGCCAGCCCTGGGCGTTCAGGTAGCAGCCAGCAGCGAGGCACCCGTGTCCCTGTGCCTGTGTCCCTGCTGGGGGTGGTGAGTGAGCCACAACCTCCACCGAAGGGTAGCTCCGCACTCCCATGCAGTCCGCAGCTGGTGCCCCAGAGCCACCTCCCAAACACAGAGGACCTCAGTGGACACTGCCCGGCGCCTCCTGCCCACCCCTCTGTGTATTTACTTCCGCCTCTGCGAAGCCCCTGCCAGCCCCATCCTGGGGCCACACACCATGTTTCTTCCCCATATCCTGAAGGGAAGGTGCCGTCCCCAGAAATCACTGACTAGAAGCAATGACAGAAGGACCCAGGGTTTTATTCTTTCTGCCTTAAATTCTCTGCTTAATTTAATTTTGTAATCATAGTAAACACCTAACATAAAATTTGCCATTTTAACCATTGTAAGCGCACAGTTCGGAGGTGTTAAATACATTCACATGACCGTGTAACCATCACCACAGCCATGTCTAGATCTTTCTCATCATCCTAGACTGAAGCTCTGCCCCCGCCATGAAACACTCTCCTCCTCCCCACCCAGCCCCTGACCCCATCTGCTTTCTGTCTTGGGGTCCGCAGGGACCACAGACAAGCGACACCATCTACACTGTAGGGTGTCAGGATTTACTTTCCCTTTCCTGGCTGAGTAATACTCCCTTGCATGGATGGACCCCCTGGAGTTTACTCATTCCGAATGCACAAGTCCATCCGATTCTTTAAAGACTTCAGCCATGTCCGTGCCTATTTCTTTGGCCTGCATGGGGCCGGCATCTCGTCTCTGAGAACCTTCATGTGTCCCGGAGCCCTGCTCCCTCCTGAGTCATGGCCAGCTTGGTCTGTGCAGACCTAGGTGTGTGTGGAGTGTGTCGTGCAGCGTCGGGGAGGAGCCAGTGGTACAGGAAGACAGATGCTGTTAGCTGAGCTCACGCAGGGCTGGCTGGTGCTGTGGCATCGCCTGGAGTAGCCGGGATGCATCAGGGCCTCAGCCTTTGAGCCCAGGAGCGGCGTGGCCCGCCCTGCACAGATTGCCTTTGCTCTGTGTCCTTATTTTGGTGCTTGCTCCTCGATTTACTCAAGCCCTGGTGTTTCCAGGCAGCCCCGCCCTGGCCTTCGGTGACACCGCAGTCCAGTGGCCCCTGCTTGCATCCGTCCCTCCCAGCCCGGTGCATTTGCTGGCGTGGGGGAGAGCGGCGGGCACTACGGCAATGAGCAGTGTCGGCTGGCGACAGCAGCGGTGCTGGGAAGGGGGGTCCCCTGCAGCCCCAGGCCTGCGTGCAGCTCAGGAAGCCGTCCAAGTCTGTGGGGACATCGGGGTCCGCACCTCCAGCTCTCCTAGGTGCAGCCGAGAGCGCTGCCGCTGAAGCTGGCCGGCCTGGACGACCGGGCGGTGTCCGGTGGGGTCTGGTGCGCTGGCCTGTCTGCCGTGGGCGCTGCTGGTTCATTTCCCAAGCAGACCTGTGACCCGGGTCTGACATCCAGGCCACCTCTGCAGTGAGCTTCCGGCCCTCTCCCCGGAGCTCGGCCACAGAGGCTGTCTTCGCCCTCGCCTCCCCAGACCTGGGAACGGTCCCCATGGCAGCCCCTCTGGTGGTCACTGGACGGTGGGGAGGTCCAGCAGTGGCTGAGGGCCCAGAGTCACAGGCC